TAAATATATCAGCAGGATAATTAATAATAGGATTTGATAAAATAACAGAATAATTGGATTTTACATCAAACATTTTACGTTTTGTATTAAATTAAAGTCATAAGCAAAACATTTTATTTACAAACCAAATTAAAAAATAGTTAAACTAAATAATATTAATCTTTTTGTCAAAGTAAGTGTTCGATATGTCCACCATTTTCTTTAATTTATTTGTCAATACATTCCAAAAAATATCGTCTCATATTAAATAGCATTATTGGTTCTAAAGAAACTGCTGCAGTATTTATTATAGTTGTTTTAAGTGTAATAATAAGTAATTTTTTGAAATTTTCATGAATTAAATAATTATTATTATCTTACCACAAGAATATGACTACCACGAACAATCCAACGTTCAGGAACGTGTATTTAAATACTGTCTCACTCCGCTTTCTCTGTAATGTAATGGTGTACCATCTTGTAGAAACCACATATTTCGCCTTAAGTTTGATAACAATTCTTCCAATAAATCAATAAAATCATTTTATAAAAAATGTAAATAAATCTCGACATTGAAATTGCAAGGTAACTCGCATATCCGAGAAAAATAATTATCAGTGGTTCCAAACCATAGGACATGAATTTTAAATATGAATTTTGAATGATATTTTTCAGATATGCGAATTACCTTTCAATTTAAATGGTGAGATTTCTTTACATTTTTTATAACATGATTTTATTGATTTATTGGAAGAATTGTCATCAAACCTAATGCGAAATATGTGGTTTCTACAAGATGGTACACCATTACATTACAGAGAAAGCGGAGTGAGACAGTATTTAAACACACTTTCCTGAACGTTGGATTGTTCGTTGTAGTCATATTCTTGTCGTACGATAATAATAATTATTTAATTCATAAAAATTTCAAAAAAATACTTATTATACTTAAAACAACTATAATAAATTCTGCAGCAATTTCTTTAGAACCAATGATGCTATTTAATATGAGACGATATTTTATGGAATGTATTGACAAATGAATTAAAGCAAATGGTGGACATATCGAACACTTACTCTTACACTTACTTATTTAGTTTAAATATTTTTTAATTTGGTTTGTAAATAAAATGTTTTAATTATGACTTTAATTTAATACAAAACGTAAAATGTTTTATGTAAAATCCAATTATTCTGTTATTTTATTAAATCCTATTATTAATTATCCTGCTGATATATTTATTTTATTTAATAATTCGTTAGAACTATTAACTTTATTAAAGGTATTTAATAACAAAATTCAGAAGTATTGATGTTTTTATCTATTTTTCTTCCATAGCCTGGAGTAATTGCGTTAAATCAGAATTATGCAGTTGATTTGTAAAATGCGATTATCTCGAAAACTGTTGAGATTTGAAGTTATTAACAGGTATACCTTTTTTTTGTTAAAATAATTTATCTTTAATATTTTCTATCAAGAATACCGTTAACTTAAAGAACAAAAAAGTTAAGTGTAAATGTATGCCACCTATGTGGCATATGTGGCGCCCTCTATTAGATATATTAAAGTGTGCATCAAATTATAATTTCTGATATTCAGTAGTACCCAGCTTTAAATTTCTATACATAAATGTTTACAAACATGAAAGTTATAGCCAAAAATAAAATTTTAAATTTCCACTTTAACACCCTGTATCTTTTTTCTCATCAACATTTTATTAAGGCATATTTGGCCCAGTAGCAATATTTTGGTCCAAATAACCTGTCCTTAGTCTATGTCCCAATAGTTATGACTCACCCTGTATATAAAGTCGATAAAAGTACCATTTTTCAACAAATAATAACACACACTTCAATTAAAAGTAATCAGTGCAATGAATACTCGCAGTGTGAGAGAAAGAACATTATTTTGAGAAGTAGCTTAAAATATCTACTTCACTTTGCGTAATGTGGGCATTTGACAACACCCTTTACACTAATGGAACAAGAAATGTACACAAAAGTAGAAAATACGCATTTGGGTAGCAAAACCTCTACAAAAGCGGCATCTCAATGTGGTCAGAAAGAACTATGTCGACAATACACCCTCGAATTATGGGTTAACATTAAAAAAAATGTTTCTAGAAATAGAGGGCTCCTTACTTGCTATTTAGAATCACGTAATACCTACAAAAACCAGGTAGATGTATGGATAAAAAGGCATGAATCAGTAGGAAAGATGTTTTATTAATAACTAGTCAACTGGGACTTCTCAAAATCGACCATATCGCCTACAAATATGTCTCGGATACTTTACTTGATATACAGTGTGTAAATTTTAAAACTTACAATGGGCTGTATCTCACGAACAAGAGCTAATATCGAAAATGCTTGAAACCATTTTTAGGATACTAAGGGGGAACTAAAATGACAAGAAAGAGAACTCACCTTCATCAACTCCCTAGGCCCCAACCAACCACAACCAAAAAAGTTTAAATTGCTAACCGCTACTTGTGATACACCATTAAAAACACTATAAAATATGCTATCCAATGGTATAAATAAAAATTATGCAGGGTGAAGCAATAATTGTGGAACTTTAGCTTAAATGGAAAATTTAATGAGGTTCTTGTTGCTTTTGGTAATGACCCTGTATAACTATTGTTTAATAATTATACAGGGTGTTGATATCAGCCGGCTTACTATGACTTTTGTATTTGTAATTCTATGTACCGGACTATTATTTTTAATGATAAATGCACGTCGAATTTTTTTTGGTTGAAAGTTGAATTTCAATAATTTTTGGTTTATGTGAAAATTTTAAATGTCATTAGTTTTCATCATTTTTACGATTGCTACTGTCATTCAGCTGTAGTTGTCATGATTTTTTACAGTATACCTGAACGCGTGGAGGTCATATTCATATTTGCCTCCCAGAAGCAGTGTTATTTACGAACAGCTCAAATATTTCATGATCAGCATCCGGACAAAAATCCAACTGAAACGGGATCAGTGCAAAATAAAAAAAGGGATGCCTCAGATGCTCAGGGCCCCAAGATTACTGAATCCTACTACGCTACATCCCAAATTGAGGTCCTTGGAAATTTTGCAATAGTGCCTACTGCATCACCACGTCAAGTATCTGCAATGACAGGACTTTCACATGAGTTGGTTAGAAAGGTGTTGAAATTACATAAGTTTTCCCGTACAAAACACAAATTCTTTAAGAACTAGGCGATGACGATCCAGACCAATGAATTAAGTTTTATGAACTTATGACTGAAAGAATTCGCGTTGAACCGAGAATGTTCAAAAATATTTGTTTCACTTATGAATTTACTTTCATGCTGAATGGTAATGTAAATAAACAAAACTGTCGGTACTGGAGTGATGCGATCCCGCATCGATTCAGAAAAGGTCAATATCCAGAAAAACTTCATGTTTGGGCAGGAATATTAGGCCACGCTATAATTGGCAACTTGTTCATACCAGGCAATTGAGGTCGCGATATTTATCTTGATATGCTGGAAAACACCATCGAACTTTTAATTGTGTATGAATTAGAGAACCAAACGCACGATCAAGGCAACGTAGCTCTAGACGAAGATTTGTTGCAATTCCAACAAGATGGAACATTCCTCACTCTGCAACTCCAGTTAGGCACTGGTTGGATACTAATTATCCGAATAAATGAATTGGAAGGAGAGGTCCTATTGAGTGGACACCGAGGTCACCAGACTTACGGCCACCTGACTTTTTTCTATAGGGTTATCTCAAGTCAGTTGTCTATAAAACTCAACCTGCGTCACTTGGGGAATTGCGAGAAAGAATTAGGCAAGCATGTCGCGCTATTACTAGAACAACATTTACCAAAGTTCATGCAGAATTTGAAAATAGGCTGTATTATTGTTTACAAAACAACGGAACCTACTTAGAATATTTACTTAATTGGCATTTTTAACAAATTTGTAGTTCAACAAACACCTCATTAAATTTTCCATTTAAGCCAAAGTTTCACAATTAGTGCTTCACCCTGTATAATTATTATTTATACCATTGGATAGCATTTTTATAGTACTTTTAATGATGTATCACAAGAACCACATATAGCACAAGATTTGTATCTCCGTATCTCCCATCCTATATCCTCTCATTTTGCGCACTTTTTTATTGTCTCATCCATATTGAATGAGATGCGTAGATATGTATTTCTTAATTCTTTTGTGTTTATAAGGTTAAGTAAAAGTTTTAAAAAATGACAGTGACGAAATGTATGAATTAACGACTCTTACTTTTAGCTGTTTGAGTTTGGTGGACAAGGTAAACATAAAAAAACGACCTACGCCGGTATTGAATTTAAGACAAGTGTAACCTAGTTATAAAAATCAAACACTGTACATGTGCAAGTTTAACTCAAGTTTCTACAATAATGTTGTCTACAACAAGACGTAATGGTTGTAGATTGTTGTGAGGATGTTGAGAAAAAAATGTGTTATTTTGTTTTCTGTATTTGTTATTTGTAGGAGACGATAATTGGACAGAAGGTGTACGTGATTGTGCGGAAATGCGGTCTTGCCCTACGTGATCAATTTTTTTCTTTTACAATACCGTCCATTTACTGTGGTTCTCTTCCTGTCCACGTTTTCGGTGCTTTTGTAATATATTGTTGTTTCAAAACTCTATAAATATTTAGTTACTTGTCCAACTCCGACCAGAGTTGAACACTTTCAAAATTGACTCTAAACAGTACTGGTGGGCATAAATGTAAATCTTGGTTAAAAAATTAACAGTAATACATTTTATGTCGATTGCAAACTTTACTCCTTTTTAAGAAACATGCGTGCATTTCAATGATACATGCAGCAAAATTACTGCAACATTTAAGAGAAGAAAGTTTCATATAATTTTGAAATTATTCGTCACTGGTGTATGACATTACGTTGAGGATTAGTAGCTGTCTCATAAAAAACTGTGCTATCAAATATTTTCAAATAATTATATAGATATAATTCAATAATATGTATAATTAAAATAAAAAATACTTACTTGAGAGATAATGAGAAATCATTTTTAATAGATTCACTATTTCTCACCAAAAAACTGCCTTCTCTTAATATTCTTAACACATTTTCCGCTTCGACTCTACTTATTTGGCCATGGAACCATCTAAAATAAAAAATATATTAAAATGAAATATATAACCATATGCTTCTATCTGCGAAATTATATTAAAAACTTATGTAAGTACTTTGCGAAATTAAGAACTTTTGTGTTATTTGTGGATGTGGATGGATTTTCCTTGTGTGTGTTGTCTAGCACATTGCGTACATACCTGGTGGTAGTTTAGTTTTTATTTTATTTGAATATTTTTGTACATTCAAATGTGCAGTTTTTATTCTATATCTACACAATCCTATACTAAAAATGGATTTTAATCTTCAGTACCTATACCCATTTGTACCTACAGCAAGTACCTACTGACCAAAGATAGAGTGCGATTCAATGCACTTCACAATTGAAAGAAAACTCAGAAATCGTAAAATTTATACACCAGGCTGCTACGTAGATCTTTTTAAAAATGCAAGACTTACTCCTAAACCATATGAAGTACTATACCCCTTGATTATACATTCTGGAAAAATGTTTCCAATTTTAATGTTTATAGTTCAATAAGACTTGGAAATCAATGTGGAGTCCCAACTGTCCATGACCTCAGATGTATAAAGTACAATCCAGACCTACGTGTTGAATACAAATTAGACTACAAAATGCCCTGGATTTTACTTCCCAAACGTTGCAATAAAAGCAAGATTGATACTATTTCGTCTCCTTTATACAATGGCCCATTAAAAATAAATGTAACAAAAATATAACCACATAAAAGAATTGTAACAATAAAACACTGAAAACTTTGTTTTCAAACTTCCACAAAATTTATTTTAAATATTATCACTACAGCTGTTTCGGCTGATTGCCTTTCTCAAGTGATCTATTTTGGCTTGTGTTTACAAATTTATAGTCTCTAATGAAATATGTTGAGGAGGGGAGAACTGTTTGTCTCAAGTTGGTCATTCAGAATTATATCTGTGTTTTTTAATTTGTTGATTTCATAGATTCTAACAAAGATAGCTTAAGGTCTTTATTTTGAATGTGAAGAATTTTAAATTTGTCATTAAAAGAATGATTATGATCTAGAAGGTGAAGTGCGTATGTCGAATCTGTTTTTCTTGTTAACTTGTTAACTTTATTAGTTTCACTATTATTTTTTATTAGTTAATATATTTATTGTTAATATCTATTAGACAAATATTTCATATGAGAAATTTGATTTTTTGTGTAATACATTACACATATGTAATACATACATTTTTTAAATACACCGGTTACTACTTTCTTTGTATTACTATTTCATCTTAACCTCTTACTAACAACCTTCTGGTACGGCAGCCATTTTAAGGACACGAACTTATCAGGTGAATACTGGTTACTAGTTACATACATACACAAGATGCACATCACGCAAAAGACTCTTCAGCAAGTTGTTCCTCAGGCAAACTGCCTTTTAGTCGTACTACTTTTAAGGTAGGAAAGTCGCGAAATCTGATCATTGAGGTCACCTGTGACAAGCGTGGGCTCGATGGCCAGCTCTTTCGGGTGTTCAGCCGGCGAGGAGAACAAAATTTATTTTGCTATTTCGACGGCTGAGTAACCTAATACACACATTTCGGATAAAGAGACATTAACTTACGTGGGCAACGCTCTGTTCGGAACACCCTCTTTTTGGTGACATAAGTTCCAAAGTCATATAATACAGATTAATTCAGTCAATCATATTGAGAAAAGCTGTTCTAGCTATCCTTAAAATGAAGTGGCTTAACTACACAAAGTAACACAAGATGTTCCATTACCCAGGGCATCCAAAGTAACGTTCATTACATAAGCCCCCCCATTCGTTATACCTTGCAATTGGGGAGGGGTAGTAGCATAGCTTGAGAATCAAATAGGCACCACTGTCTAAAGGAGGGTGACCGATTTGATGCTGTGTGGGTTCCGCTGTTTCAATCAAACACACGTGTTCCTCTGGGACCGCTGGGCTGTATGCGTGTGTGTACGGGGTATATTTCTCTAGTAATAGTTGTATTGCGTTCACAATCAGGCTTATTTTCGGTAACGGATGGTGCTTTTTGGCACTTCTTGTGCTAGCTATGAGCTAAAGTATTTTGTATCTGATTCTCTTCTGGCAAGTTCATCAAGTTATGTCACTTCTGCCAATCTGTAGAGTTCATTTAAGTGTAGGTTTAGGAAGTTAGGACTTTTGAGAGCCCCATGGCCTACGACTAAAATACCCTATATCTGGGTAGAATATGGTTAAAAATCATAATCCAAATGATACTGTAAAAAAAAACAAAATCAATCTGTCATATACAAAAGTGAACAATTTTTTTTTAAATTCAATTTATCACAGAAAAATAGAGAAAATAATTCCCTAGTAGATTATTTTATAAAAGAAGCTTATATAGTGGTAAGAACTGCTAGATAATATTTAGGCATTGGGCAAGCCACATAAATTGCTTGTACTGGACAATAAAGTCAGAAGCGAAACAAAACCAAAATATTTAAGAGGATCATAAAAAAATCAAATAAGGGATGTTAATGTGTTAAAAAGAAGATGTATTCAAGAAAAAAATTAAATAAATAACTAGCTGAAACATAAAAGCAATGTCCTAATACAATATGACAAAATATGGTCACAATAATTAGAGATACTGAAATCAAAAAGGTTAAAAAATATATCAGAAAGGAAATTGAAGAATAAAGAGACCTTGTCGTAGTCAAACTCCAAGAAAAATTATAAAAATTATATAGAAAAATTATATAATAAACTTGCCAGCAGGGAAGTGGAAAGAAAGATATATAGAGTGACAGAATAGACTAATAAAGAGATAAATAATCAAGAAATACTGATGTAACTACGAAAAAGACATCAAAAGGCGATGGAACAATACTTTGTCATATTACTAAAAATTGTTAGAAAGTGTTAGAAAATTAGTTGAACTAAGTGAAACATTAACATTAATGGTCACCAAAATAGCAAACTAGGAAGTTTGTCAAGAACTATAAAAATTTAGAAAAGTAAATTATTTGAACCATATGATATGAAGAATTTAAATATAACGTTCGAAGAGGAAAATATGTCGGAATATTGTGCTCTATCATTAATATTTAACTCAAACAAATTTAATTAATAATTAACTCTACTTCAACCACATTCCAGTAGAGAAAGTAAAGCACTACAACTACCTCGTCATTATAATAAATAAATAATGAACCAACAACCAAAAGATAAGAGCGCGCATTCGAAAAGATAGATCCAGCGTTAATCGGAAAATGGCCTTCTTTAAAAGCCACAATTTTTCTCTTGTTATAAAAGTAAATGCTGCAATGCCACATCTTCTATTTTTTGTTTCACAGTGTGAATTATGGACTTTGAAAATAAAGATATATGTAACAGATTGAAACCGTTTGAGATATGACTGTATCAGTGAAGACTGAAGATCCCTTTCACCGAATTGAACTGAAAAGGTACTCAGAAGAATAAATAAGAACCCAGAAGTAATGAGCATCATCAAATTTCGAAAGCTACAGTACTTCGGACACATTATGCGAAATAAATCCAGATATGCCATCCTGCAAAGAAAAATATTGGGTAAGTGAGGTGCAGAAATAAGAAGAACATCCTGGTTAAGGAACCTCAAAACCGGGTTCAACATAATATCTGTGCAGCTTTTCCGTGCAGCCTAATAATTCTTAGGCATATCACGATGTTAAAGTGGCCCTGATTGGTAGTTCTGATGGTACTTTTAATTGATTTTGTGAGTTTATGTGGGATTTTCAATTTTTCCAGTACTACCATTAGTTCTTTTCTTTTAGTCGAATCAAACGTCTTTTAAAAGTCGATAAATAGCATTTTCAATTGTAATTTGTATTTGTTTGGTTTTTATATTAGTAATTATTAAGGAATGTCAAATGGCTATATTGGTAGCAATGTAATAAAAATACGCTTAACTTACCCTTGTTTTTCTAGGGGCAAATATATATCAATTGTGTCAGAACTTGTTGAAGGTTGATTTATACTTGAATTTAATGTTAATCCAAGTCCAGAAAGTGTAAGTCCCAAAGCATGCTTTGGGTGGTTTCCAATTTCACTCAAATTCAATGTTAGTTTTGGTCGACAGGAAGCTAAAAAACATCGTCGTTAATAAAGATTTTCCATGGCAACAATTAAAAAGAAAAGTAAATAATTTTAATTCACGAAATTCACTACTCTATAAAAAATAAGAATTTATATCTTATTTTTTATTTTGATTTAAATACCAGTTTATTTATGACCAGAGAACCAAATTACATTTTGAATTAATGTGTTATATACAAAAACCGATAAAAACTAAAATAAATTAATAATACATTTAAAGCACACTTTACTCTATAAGTTTAGATAATTTTATAGTCAGCCAGTTCTAACAACCAATATACAGGGTGTTTCGAAAAGGTATGTGATAAATTAAATCACGCAATCCGGGGACAAAAATAAATTTATTGAATCCAACTACCTTAGTACAAAAAAAAGTTACAGCCTTTTGAAGTTACAAAATAAAAATTGTTTTTTGCAATATCTCCTAAACTACTTGACATTTTGTAACAAAAATGAACAAATTACTTTCTTGTTCTGAAAGCATTTTTCATACAAAAGGAACAATAAAATCTAAACCCACAGACAAATTTTAAGGGGGATGTGCAGCCCTAAATCCCCCCAAACTTTTGAGTACGTTTAAATCAACTGCATTTTGTGGCATCATTAGTTTAACACATTGTTTTTAAAACTTTTTTGCCTATCATCACTTTTTCTAAAAACTAGTTTTTTGATAGTTTTCAATAAAATTACAATTACTTTTACGAATACAATAATTACAAACAGTTCCATCAATATTGATATTGCAATGGCCTACTCATTTCAGGAAATGGTAGATATGCATTTAACTTGGGTAAGTTGGATCAGATTAAATGATGATTTCGATAAACTATCGGGAATATTTAATTAAAAATCCTTTGTAATAGGTATATATTTACGGCCCAAACGGGCTAAGTTAAAAAGACAAAACGTTTTCGGAAACCATGTTCCATCATCAGTGTCCTAGAAAATAGTTAACCACTTAATTAAAAAGAACATAGGTTAAAATTTTGACTAAGGTTAATGAAAAATGTGGTTAATACTTACTAGGAGTACATGAATGTAGCCACCAAGTGTAAATATATGGGTAAAAACCCGTTAATAGATGTTTAATTACATTTAGTTTTAAAAATATGTTATAATTATTTAAGATTAAAGAGTTACCGATGGATTAGGTAACATGGCGACATATGACTCCACGTTGAAGTTGCTAGTCCTGAGACGGTATGTCTTCGAGGACTGTATGAGTGCAACTGATTGGCAATGACATTTGATGACAATATTGTTAAGTTATTATCAATGAGCAATTATCACAGAGCAGTCAATGTAGCTGTATGTTTCTACTTAAGACAAAAGCCAACGTTATTTAAAATTGTGAAAATTAAGTGAACTAATATAACAGTATCAACCATCAATGTTTTATTGTTAATGGTTGGATCTAAATGTATTTATTTAGAATTGGAAGTGTTCTTGTATGAATAAAATAAAACTGTTTTAGTAAATGTTCACGTGTTATTTAACCTTTAACTCAAATATAAGTATTGAGTTAAAGGTTAAATAACACGTGAACATTTACTAAAACAGTTTTATTTTATTCATACAAGAACACTTCCAATTCTAAATAAATCCATTAGGTCCAACCATTAACAATAAAATTTCTTAAATTCAACCTTCCACATGTGTCTAGTTTATATTTTCTGGGTACCAAATGTTTAAGAAACATAAAGGGCCATATAATAAAAAATTTCTATATTACATTGCTACATACATGCATAGTTGGTTGCCCAACTACAACCATACAATTTTTTCTCCCTTATATCATCTTATTTACATAAATTTAAAACTACAACATTGATGGTTGATACTGTTATATTAGTTCACTTAATTTTCACAATTTTAAATAACGTTGGCTTTTGTCTTAAGTAAATACATACAGCTACATTGACTGCTCTGTGATAATTTCCGTCATAACTTAACAATATTGTCATCAAATGTCATTGCCAATCAGTTGCACTCATACAGTCCTCGAAGACATACCGTCTCAGGACTAGCAACTTCAACGTGGAGTCATATGTCGCCATGTTACCTAATCCATCGGTAACTCTTTAATCTTAAATAATTATAACATATTTTTAAAACTAAATGTAATTAAACATCTATTAACGGGTTTTTACCCATATATTTACTCTTGGTGGCTACATTCATGTACTCCTAGTAAGTATTATCCACATTTTTCATTAACCTTAGTCAAAATTTTAACCTATGTTCTTTTTAATTAAGTGGTTAACTATTTTCTAGGACACTGATGATGGAACATGGTTTCCGAAAACGTTTTATCTTTTTAACTTAGCCCGTTTGGGCCGTAAATATATACCTATTACAAAGGATTTTTAATTAAATTTTTAATACATGGTATACAGCCAACTACAGTAACGTAGATTCCTTGTGGATTATTATCGGGAATATCATAGGTGAATGTCAAGAAATAGTGCAGCAGCCGCAAAACGTTATGAAGTAAAATTATCCAATCGAAATACACCCGATAGACGATTATTTCTGACCATTTATCATTGTTTTCGGGAAACGGGTACATTTCAACCACAAATTGCTGGCAATAGTGGTCGTCCAAGAATGAATGCAACTGATGAAGACATTTTAGAAATCACTGAAGAAGTCCCTGGAACAAGTACAAGGGTAATAGCTGCTCAACTAAATGTTCCTCACGTAAGGGTTTGGATGTGTTTGAAGGATCAGCTGCTTAAACCCCATCACTTAACAACGGTTCAAGAGATATTGGTTGAAGATTATCCTAAAAGGATAATTGGTTGTTAATGGAAATGGAAAACAATCGAAATGGTAATTATATTAGAAATATTTTGTTAACTGTCGAGGCTACCTTCAATAGAAACGGAATATCAAACCATCATAACGAGCACATTTGGGCCGACGAAAATCCTCACGCCAAAAGAACTACTCAGCACCAAAGCACTTTCAAAGTTAATGTTTGGGCAGGAATTGTGGATAACAATCTAATAGGCCCAGTATTTCTTAGTAACAATTTAAATAGTGATAATAATTTGCAGTTCTTAGCAAACAATTTACAAGAGTATTTGGAAGAAGTGAATATTGCAATGAGGCAAAATATGTGGTTTCTACAAGATGACGCTCTACCGCATTGCACTAATGAAGTCCGTGAATACCTTTGTGTATTATGTAACAATAGAAGACGAACAACGAATAATTGAAGCTGCAAATCAATTTCGTCAGAAAAACATATTGGTTTTCCTTATTAAAACGATACCGAATGTGTGTTGAAGAATATGGGGGTCATTTTGAACATTTATAGTAATATCATATTTATAAAGGCTAAGTATAGACATTTTTTGTACTTGTTAATTCATTTAAACCATTTATTTAGTTGCACGTAATTTTTAAGATTAATGAAAAGGGCCCTAACTCAATAATAACGGTTTTTTGAAAAAAGTGATAGGGCGCAAAATTTTTTTAAAAATAATGTGTTAAACTACTGATGCCACAAAATTCATTTGACTTGAACGTAATCAAAAGTTTGATGGGATTTAGAGCTGCACACCCCCCTTAAATTTTTTCTGTGCGCTTAGATTTTGTTGTTTCTTTTTATGAAAAATGCTTTCAGAACAAGAAAGTAACGTGTCATTTGTATTACGAAATGTCAATTAGTTTAGGAGATAATGCAAAAAAAAAACAATTTTTATTTTGTAACTTCAAAGGGCTGTAACTTTTTTTGTGTACACTTTTGTACTGAGGTAAGTTGGATTTAATCAATTTATTTTTGTCTCCGGAATGCCTGAATTAATTTATGATATACTTCTTTGAAACACCCTGTATAGAGTGCAGCAGTTAAAAATATGCAGAATCTTATCTTATTATCCAATCAGTCTATTGTCAATCTGATATATAACGTACCGTTTATTTATTTAATTACTAACCTCAGTTGGAAATAATATATTAATTTAATTTGAAAATATCTAACTATTCCCCAACACCCCGCGGACCGGCTTTTTATTTTGTTATATTGGGATCTTAGTCCTACATCGGAAAGAATAAAATAAATAACTTGAAATTTATATCCAAGCGCAAGGATGAAACACTTTGTTTTGGATGGAACGCACCTTACAACAGAGCATTGAAATGTGCCCAATCGTAGAATCGACAATAATATGAGATTGAGCTAGTTTATTTTTTGGGTCGCGAATCACGTAGTTTCATAATATCCATAATTATTTATAACAATTTGGCTTAAACTGTTTTAAGTAATATTAAACATTCTTTTCTTGCTGGCAAAATTTTATATTACAACCTATTCCATCAAACTTCCGATTTTATTGTACAAAACACCAGTGGCGGCCGGTACAAAACACCAGCATGGTCGGCAGTGCCGACCCACACCTTTATAGATATTATAGATTTTTTTTAATATTTATGTAATCAGTATTTCAATAATTAATTGTGGCAGATAATCAGTTGATGTCATTTGCTTCTGTGAAATAACTAAATTTTTTTTCATGATTTTTAACAGAATAAGACCAATTCGACCAGACTAAATTTTATTTATGGCTTTTAAAAGAATTCGTCCAATCTGAGCGTTAAGTGATCCCTGTGTAAGACACTTTTCAAATTAATGATCCGAAATCGGAGACACGCATCCGTCTGTGAATTCATAAATAGTCACGTTTTAGTGTTTCGGCAAGCCGATCCCAAGATTGACAATTTACAATATTTACATGTAAAAATGAACGGAATATTACTTGATGAGCATAAACATACATTTCTTTCCATATGAAGTTAATTACCAAGTCCGGCAGATTTAAATTTGCCGATGCTTCTTAAGGATTGGTGATTGGTCGTGAACTGTACCTTGTGAGCGTGGGATAAAATGTTATTCAGGATGAGGATGGATAAGTAGTGATGTGATATTGAGTGCATGAACTAGCTTTTCTTTCTGTGATTTATTTTTGTTTTCTAAAGTAAT